AGTATTATTTTATTATTGCAACACAATAACTGATCAATAAATAAACTTCATTAAATATTTAGTATTAAAAACATTGATACCCTTGGAGAAATGAAGCTTTAAAATTTTTACTGCAATTTCACAAAATTGAAAATATTTCAAAAACGGTAAGGTTTAAGTATAATAAACCTTAATCAAATTTACCTTTATTTTAATCGTAGAAACTAAAAATGTAATAATATACAGGGTGTTCCATTTAAAAAAATACAACTATGATATTTTTTATTCATTTGGGACACTCTGTATCTTGTAAAAATATTTTAACGAACCCAAAACTTACAATTTGTAAAAATCTAATCGTTTAGCTACAATACTCCGTGTCGTATGTGGTGAACAACCCTGTATATCATATACATTTTAAAATAGGGCATCATGATATACGAACGTAAATTTAAATTTCAAATTGTTTTGTTTTATCCTTTTTGGATTTAATTTAAACTTTTATTTCGATTGCGAAATATCGGTGGTGTATTATATCTAACCGTGGACGGATATTTAAATTTATTTAAATTTTTTTAGGCGCAGGAAGTATCTTTTGTTTTTATGTTTGTAACTTTATTGATACAAACTGTGAAATATAATTAGTTGAAAATTCTACATAAAACAACAAAAAGGGAGCAAATGAATGTGGAAATAAAAAAAACTTACTAAAAGAATCCGCACACTATACCTCTCGTATGCAGAATTTTATATTCTATTAGATTAGGGCTTAATATGAGCTGAATTGTTAATAGTTTTCAGGAAGCTGGATTCCCCTTATTTTGCCTTAAACCTGAAAAAAACTAAGAGTATTTATACTGTTGAAAAATATATTAATACAAGTCTAAAATAATCCAAACTATACTTTTGTATATGCGCAGAATTTTATATTCTGTTAGAAGTTAGTTCTTAATATGGTCTGAAATGTTAAAAGTTTTGGCGAAGAGCCCGGGAGAGATAGCGATAGTATTTAAAAGTAGTCATGTAAGTAGTTGATTTAATCCATGCATACTTTCTTTTTGAGCTACTCTTATTTACTGCTCTGATGATTACGTGAACAAAGACTGTTTTGCCGTCAACAACGGTAAAATCGAAGAAGTTCCTCTTTACAGTAAATGCACTCCCTGCAGTGCACAGGCAAAGAAGAGATCGGTGAAGAACCAGTTTGGACCTATAACGACCTTGCGTTAAAAGTTGCCGAGAGAACCATCGTCTAAAGAAAGCTTGGACATCAGTAAAGCACTATGTTCGTATAATCCGTTATAGAGAGAGTCACGAATGCAGATTGATCTTTTTTTTATTTTTCATTTCTTTAAACTTTCTTTAAAAAATTTCTGATTGGGAGCCTTTTCTATTTTGATTGATTAGGGTTCCTTCTTTTACAGTAATGTTTGTCTATAATATTTGTCCGAGGGGTATGCATAAAAAAATAAAAAAAGTTTTAATATAGAACGAAAAACTTCTTATCAAAAAAGTAACATTTTTTATAACAAGCATTAACTTCTAAAAGCGAATATCTCCAATAAAAATATGAGCTATTGGGATGAATCAAAAAGTAAAATATCGAGAAAAGATGCGCCTTCATGATAAAGTACTTTTTAAATCCATTACTTTATTAAATATTTCCACAGGGTGTTTTAAACTTTCGGCCCAATAACAACATTTTTTCCATAGCAACTGTTAAAATTGCCTTATACATATCTATCAAAAATAGTAGATAAAATAGTACTTTAAGGGTAGATTAAATGATACTTTAACAGCGAGGATAGGTTAAAAACTTTATTTCTTCTCGCACGTTTTTTAATTGCTTCCATTTTTGAAAATTTTTGTATTCCTTTTCATAAGTTATTCAGGATTTAAATGGAAGTAGTTTGGATATGGCGTTTGTCGCCTCAGCTTGAATATTTGTTAGTAATTTACTTATTTCGTTTTGAGCCATTTCTAGCTCCAACTCAATCAGCAATCGACACGAAAGGGAATTAAAAAATATTGACTCAAAACTGACAACTAAAGAGACAGCTTTATTTATTTGTCAAATTACATAGAAACCAACGCCAACCCAGCACAATATTTTTTCTATTCGTATTAAATTCCTTGAAATAATAATTTCTGAATATTTTTAAAACGTAACTCGTTATGGAAAAAAATATTGTTTTATACACGACGATAAAATTGCATTATTGTCTCCCGAAATTAATTCACTCGCGATTTCATCGCTTGGGATTTCATCGCTGTACTGGCTATGTTTTTATGATAACTGGCCAGAATTCATTCAAATAACTCTGTTTAGTATTAAACGACATTATGGAGCGTAGACATCTTAACAGAGACGAAATGCTAAGGGCCATGGTTATGCTTGAAGCTGGAATGCGCCAAATCGACGTAGCTAGAGCATTAAATACAACGCAAAGTGTAATATCGCGATTAAGTGCACGCTACCGTGAAAGTGGTGATGTTGCTGAAAGGCACACAGAGCGACATCGCATTACTACCCCTCAGCAAGATCATTTTTTACAATTAAATGCTCGACGCCGACCGACTCTAACAGCACCAGAGCTTAGTTTAATTCTCCAGGAAACACATAATGTAACCGTGAGTCCTGACACTGTTCGCAATAGATTAAGAGAGGTCAACTTAAGAAGCAGACGCACTTGGAGAGCTCAACCCTTAACGAGAGGAAATCGAGAGGTACGATATTTGTGGGCTCAAGATTATGTTCAGTGGTCGAATGAACAATGGGCCAATGTTCTCTTCACGGATGAGTCACGCTTTGGAATTCCTCGGGATTCGAGAAGGCTTAGGCTATGGAGAGAACCGGGAAATCTTATTCGGTTGGATCATGTTCAGGAAGTGCACCCTTATCAAGGTGGAACAGTTATGGTCTGGGGAGGAGTCCAGTTAGGCCGAAAAACCGATCTCGTTTTTCTTGAAAGGTTTCTAATAGGACATATCGTGATTTAATTCTTTAGCCTATCGTGTTACCATATGGCAATGATTTTGGGAGAAACTTCATTCTCATGCATGACAATGCACGGCCTCATACAGCCAGAGTGGTAGTGAGTTTATCAATGCTCATCAATTAAACATCTTACCCTGGCCGGCACAATCTCCTGACCTCAACCCCATCGAGCACGTATGGGACGCGGTCCAGAGAAGAATTTTGAGAATGGGTATGCCTCGTGAAACTCGTAGGGATCTGGTTCGGGCCGTGAATGCAGCGTGGCAGGCTGTACCTCAAGAAGAGATCGACAACCTGATCAGGAGCACGGAGAGACGATGTAGGGCTGTAATGAACAGTAGAGGAGGCCATACCCTTTATTAAGTAAAAATGGTTTTATCTTTTTTATAAAAAAATCATGGTAAATTTGAAAAATTCTGTAAATTTCGCATTTTTATTTCCAATACGTCCTGTAAACTATTTGTTTATTTTAATTGTATTATATCAGAAATGCAAATAATAAAATTACTGACACTGGCTGGATAAAATGGTAATATCCCTAGACTTTTCCGGTGTGTGTATATATAGAACTTTATGGTGTCCATTTTTCGGACAGTGCAGTATTTTTTATCCTAAATCGATGTTTTTTCACTATTTTTTTCTGTTTCTTTAATGATGTTTGTATAAAATTTTAAATAAACTAACTAATTAGTAGGTATTGGTTGTATATGGGCATATTATAGAAAGTAACTATCCATTAAGTAATTGCTTTATTTTCTTCTTATTATTCCAGTCATTCTTCTGAAACGTAACGTAATGTGAGATCGGCGAGTATTTTGACTAATTTATTTATTTATTTACTCTCTGGTAGACGCAATATTGTGAAAGTTATTTCTCAACATACATATACATATATTTAATTTAAATAAATGCAAGTGAATCTATTGGATCAATTATTATTATTCATTAAATATAAAACCATGCCGTGAACTCTAACTATTTTTAGTTAAAAAAAATAGTTTTTATCATTTTGGCATTGAAATACTAGGTCAAAACTATGGAGGTGTCTAAAAATAAAATTAAATAATGATTTTTTATAGTATTTTATCCTATATTTCACAACAAAAAATAAAATAATAAAAAAATATAAAAAATATTTAATTAATTTCATATTACGTACTGTTTTTTTTTTGGTTTAATTACTCTGAACAAATTAAGGGTTTGCCATGTATAAATATATTGCATATATCTCAGTTTTTTTTATGCTTGTGCAAATAATGACTTCATATATTACCACAGAACATAGAAATATCCTTAAAAGGCAAAAAGCTGGTAAAACAGCTTGGATTTATGGAGATTTCTGTATTTTATCTTAATCTATATACTATAAAACAAACACAGAGTGAACAGTTAATTAACAATTAAAAAATGTGTCACTAATGTAAATTTTGTTAAATTTGTTTCCTTCACATTTTTTGTCTTCTTTTGTAGAAGTTTTAAAAGAGATCTCTGTTAATCTAAAAGGTACAAGAAATACAAAAATACAAATCAAATCCAAAGAATTTATTTACCAATTTAATGCCAAATTTCAACTACTTAATTTATAGAATATTTTATAAACACTAATTTCCTATTTAGACATTACTTTTATTTAGATATTTAAAACTTATATGAAGTCTGTACATTATCAAATTCTGTTGGCAAATATATTATTTATTTCTTGACGAATACACGAAACGGAAGTACGTAGGCTACGTTAGACAGGAAGTTGACAGAATAAAACTGTCTATAGCAAAAAAGCTCTTTGAATTTTGCTTTGTATCGTATACGAAATAATATTGTGCCTTATATTACTTACTATATTGCATTAAAATACTGTTTATATAATTTAATATTTACTTCCAATCTTAAATATAACACTATTCTTCCACAATTTAACCACAATAATGATCTAATTGTAAAAACAAATAAGTACATAGTACATCATCGTTACGTTTAATTTGTAAAGTGATATGGCTGACTCAGCACTATTTTTTTTTTGCAGGATGTGGTGGACGATTACGGGAAATTTTGGAAACATTCTGCCAATCGATTGGTCCAAATCGTATGCCAGGAAATTACAGATCGATTCCCTACATTTAGAACAGGTAAATGTAATTTTCTTTTTTTATTATCTGCCATTTTATTATTACCAATTTTTGGCATGGTTTTTTGTTCAAATGCGTATACAGGGTTGTTCACCACATACGACACGGAGTATTGTAGCTAAACGATTAGATTTTTACAAATTGTAAGTTTTGGGTTCGTTGAAGGACTATTAGAGCTACAATTTAAAAATATTTTTACAAGATACAGAGTGTCCCAAATAAATAAAAAATATCAAAGTTGTATTTTTTTAAATGGAACACCCTGTATATTATTACATCTTTAGTTTCTACGATTAAAATTAAGGTTAATTTCATAAAGGTTTATTACACTTAAACCTTACCGTTTTTGAAATATTTTCAATTTTGTGAAATTGCAGTCAAAATTTTAAGGCTTCATTTCTCCAAGGGTATCAAGGTTTTTAATACTAAATATTTACTGAAGTTTATTTATTGATCAGTTATTGTGTTGCAATAATAAAAATTATACTACCTCATACAGAGTGTCTAAAATTTTATTTTAAATAATTACTAGCTTTAAACGGGAATCACTTGTTTAATTTAAATGGAACACCCTGTATATTTTATGAGAATCAGATGCACAATTTAATTGTCTATCAAATTGTATTATACCATTTTTTACCTACAGCTTCAAGTTTCCGCAGAAAATGCATTTTCTTGTAATTTTAAATTCATTTATCAATATACCCATGGAATACTGACATTTTAGATTATTTCTAAAGATGTACCAAATTTTTAAAGAATACAGATACTAATATCGTCGATATAATTTGTTTATTTCATTAAAAAAATAAAAAAAAAACTGTTTAAATATTTGTTAAAGAGGACCAATTAATATGATTCCAGTATTCAAACTACATGAATTGACTTTTTGCGTTGATTAATAATAATTGCTCCAAAAAGTAAAAAACTGAATTTTTTATGTGTATTAGACAATGTGGTAAAAAGTAACACCTTAAAAATGATATTTCATTTTTTGACAAATGCTTATTTGTAACAACAGAGACATTCATTTTTATAACTTATTATTATATTGATTTCTGATTCAAATCCACATTTATTTAGAATAATTTATTCACGAACATAATTAAGTATGTAATTAATTAGCATTTGAGCGGAAATAATGGTGGTATATTTAATTATTGGTAAACTCTTTTGCAAAGATTTAAATAATTTTCTTTTTGAAAAAATGGGCTAGTAATATTACCGTTTTGGTAAAAACGGTAATATCAACAGTAAATTTTTATCAAAGCCACCTAAAGACTTTTGCCTGGTATTTTACTGTTTTTTTTTTGTAAAAAAGCCTCTCAATTTACTCACACTTTTTTGAGTTACCCTGTGGAAGTTAAAATAGTTTTTTGAAATAGAGCTTAGTAAAAAATCTCTTATAGTCTTTTTTAGATGACTTACAAATGCCCGGTGTACTGTTGTAGAACCCTGTATAATATATTTGAAGCGTTCACGTGTTAAAAAAAGCTGTGTTACAGTTCTTCGAAACGACAAACGTCATTAACAAGCGAGCTCTAATTTAAAATAATTATTTTAACAGATGAGGTAGTCCTCGTCTGCCATTATCGTTTGATATAAATATACCGTATATATTTGTCTCTCTCCATACTAAGCACAATGTGTGTGGGACAAATTATTTAGAAAGGCGAAATAAAAAAAATAACGCACATCTGGTGTATATTATGATTGTCAGTCAGATGACACATAATAACAATTGGTTTTGAAAAGAATAACACTTAATACACAGCTTCCAAAATTCTTCTTTAATTTTTTAGAGTACTATGTATCAATTCTGTAGTATTATACGACTTATACGGGTAAATCACAATTAAGTAATAATTTTGCATATTATCAACATACGATAAAAAAAACGGTGTCAAAGACGGCTGGTAAATGACAGTGGATGATAATTTTGGCGTGGTCAAGCCCTTGACGTCATTTACCTAACCCGTACTTTTCTTTATCTTTTGATGACGCTTACTGGTCCAAGAAAATAGGCCTTCATATACGCCGAAGTTTAGGTAAAAACTTGAATTTTTCATTTTTTGAAATATCTAAAAAAGAAATGTGAGATTTTTTTTTAAATTCACCCTCAAGAAGGGGTGTAATTAAAATTAACCGAGATAGGGTGGCTAGAAGCTAGGGGATGATAGTAGAAATGTAAAAAAATATATATGTAAGTTGCTGAAAAATTCATATATGTATTTAACATTTTTATTCAATTTGTTTTGGAAATTATAAATTTTAATCAAGATTTTTTTTTAATTCACCCCGGGGTTTCAATAAAAGCTGTCCCCTATAGCTTCTGGCCACCCTATCTCGGTTAATTTTGATTTGAGTAAAAAATTTAGAGACAATTTTTATGTAAAATTGGATGCTCTACAACTTTTTTTTCTAGTTCTTACTGTTTCTCCGAATTTTCGAAAAAATAATTTTGTTTATTTATTTCACCCCTTCTGGGGGGTGAATGTAAAAAAATCTTTCACAATTCGTTTTTAGATCTTCCAAAGTAACATATCAAAAATTCAAGTTTTTACCAAAACTTCGTATTTGAAGACCTATTTTCTTGGATTATTACATCCAATTGGCCTTAAGAAAGTTCTACATAATTTATTTTTATATTGAGAAAACTTACTTTGAAATAGTGTAGTTTAAAACATGAGAATTTTTTTTTCGAAATAGATTTATGTCTGAATTTTTTTTCAATCTTAAAAATTTATGATAAAACAGTTTTTGTCGAACCTTTGTCACAAATATTTCCAAATTTATGATTTTACCAAGATACTAAAATCGACAGAAATGTACTATATTTTTTCGTGAAGTAGTGCACACAAGTATGGACGAAAAATTGTTACTCTCAACAACATTTAGGTGGCGTACCCTACAAGTAGGAGTCATGATGATATTGAAAAAAAAATGATCTATAATGTCAAAAAACCCCCAGTCACCAATTTTCATCCAAATATCGACGTTAGTTCAGATATAATTTGGAAAAAAACATAAAAATTACATAAATAGTTTGTTACTTGAATTCAGTGATGCACACTAACCACAATCTAGGAATTTAATTTGATAGTTTTTATAAGGATTCCGATGTTTACCACAAGGAATGTACTAATATGGCTTTCCAGAGCTATGACTCAACAATTAACTGATACATTTTAAGAGTATTATTTCTTGGTGTGCCTTACATTGATTTTATTTTATTTGAACTATTTAAACAGCGACAAAACAAATTTTTGTTGCCTTAGTCTGGAAACAAGCTGTAGAAAAATTATACAGAAACTTATTTTTTGACACATCAACAAAGGTTTATTTTGAGAGTGTTGTTTTTAATTTTTCAGCAACCACAAACACCTGAAGACGACCTAGACCTCTCCTCTGAAGACGAGGCTGTAGCCAACGATTTGGACATGCACGCCCTTATTTTGGGTGGTATTCAACAGGAAGCAGAACCCTTAAAAACAGCAGATGAAGTATGTCATTATTTATTTATGCTTAAACTAAATAATTACAACTAAAAATTAATATTTTTGCAGGTTATTCAAGAAATTGATGACATGATGCAAGAAGAAGAATATTCTATGGACGAGAGTCCTAGAGATTCGTTTGAGAACAGCGAGGTAATGGAAAAAGCTAAAGAAGTTTTGGCATCTCCTTTATATGAAGACAGTAAGTCAAATAAATATGTATACCGGGTGTTGCATCGTCGGACGGGACATAGGAAATCCCATGTAAATTTTAATGGGGTCAATTATTGGCTTCCCTAATTATTTTAGAGAATAATTCTATTTAGGTTTATTGAAGAGCACTAAAACCCACATTCAAAAGAATAACTTTAGATATTTTTGATTAGCTCGTTTACGAGTTATCGCCGATTTCTTTTTAAAGATTTCTCCTTTCTTATGGCCCTGTATTTACTTATGAGCACCAGTCAAGGTAAAAGATAACTGTCAAATGAAGTTGTCATTTCAGAAATTTACCTATTTAGTGCTTTATTGTTATTGAAAACTCATTCCTACATCGGAAATCTTAAAGATGTATTTATAAATACAAATTAATAGGAATTAAAGTAAAATAAAGTAATCAATTACAAGGTTAATTATAGTATTATTACAATATTCAATAACTTATTAATTTAGGTAGGTACTATTAAATTGTTAGAACTTTAGGATTTAAGAAGATGTTCAAATATTCCGAAAACGCTGTAGTGTGATCTATTCCTATTTCATCCTCAAGTTTCCTTGTGCTGATCTTTCCATCATTCCCTTCCACGCACAATAAAACTTCCAAGTCGATATCATTTCTTGCATCTTCTCTTTGTTCATGCCTTGCTTCACAGCTTCAGTTATTTATTAGGGTACCTTTGGTCTCAAATCTCTGGATATTCCTTGCGATTGTAGATTTTCCAGGTATCGGTCTATTCGGATACAGAGCAGCAAACATGTCCGACACTTTTTGATAACTATTTCCTTGATAATACCATTTAATCATCAATACTTTTTCTTCGGTAGTATAATTCATGGCTAATATTTTCGATGTAGGTATGAGTTTTTAATAATAATAATAAAGCACTAAATAGATAAATTTCTGAAATGACAACTTCCTTTGACAGTTATCTTTTACCTTGACTGGTGCTCATAAGTAAATACAGGGCCATAAGAAAGGAGAAATATTTAAAAAGAAATCGGCGATAACTCGTAAAGATCAATCCTAATTTATGTCATATACTAACATACCAAATCTCGTTTTTTTAAATGAAAAAAATAAAAAAGTTATAGGGGTGAGTAACTTTTGAGACGCACCCGCTATATTATTGTCTTAATACTTTCAAAAGCAAAAAATACGATTTTTAATACATTCTCTGTTTTTTTTCTCTAGAATTGAAGGATCTAAGTCTATCCCAACTAAATGAACTCTTCCTTGAACTAGAAGTACTGATCAGAGAGTTCTCAGAAACTCTTATTACGGAACTGGCACTCAGAGACGAGCTTGAATACGAGAAAGAACTCAAAAACACTTTCATTTCACTGTTATTGGCCGTCCAGAACAAAAGAAGACAGTACCACGTTGAAAGGAAGAGAAGTTCGAAAAGTAATTCAGTTAAAACGCCCAGTGGACTGGACCCAAAGGTAATGTTATTTAGTTTGGTTAAAATATAACTTTTAATTTTTGTCCCTGCCTTTTTCAGTATTTGACCACTGTCATTCCTTACCATATAGATAATGGTACACCAGATAATCAAACTTTACAAGTTCTAATAAAAAGTAAGTTTGTTTTTTATTATGAATAAAATATATCGTATAGCTATAATTAAATAATTTTCTTTAATATTTATTTGTTTATTTTTTCTAGTTCTAAAAGCTATTAATGAAGATAGTCCCACTGTACCCACCTTGCTTACAGATTATATATTAAAAGGTAAGATCCGTTCTTTTAAATACCGTACGATCGAAAAAAAACGGCGTCCAGTTAGCTTGGAAATGAACATCTATGACATTCCCCATATAATTTTATATATAAAATGACAGCGATCTTCATTTCACAGCCATCGCTGACGCCGTTTTTTTTCTCGATCATATTGTATATTTCATAGTGTTTTTTAGCCTGTATGGTACTTTAATAAACTACTTTTAAGATTTTTTACAAGAATATAAGAATTTAAATCTGTCAATTCACCGGTCAGTTGTATTTTCTGTCGGTTTTGGATGTTCTGTCATAACCAACATGAGATACAGGCCAGAGACATCGATTTGTGACGTCACCGCAATAGTCGGGCTTTTGAATTGTGCCATATGGTACTGCCTATAGTTTTTGCATAAATAATAGTATTTATTGATAGTTTTGCCAGATATAAATATGAAAAATATTATACACAAAGGTATTAAAAAATAACATTAACTTTTTATCGCGTTAAAGTAATTGAATGGCATTAAAATTTAGATCTAAAACACGAATATTAATATGAAATAAACAACAGCATAAGATGAACAGAATAAAATCCAGATAATAAAAAGCATGTCCTAAAATTGCGTTAGCGAGTATTTAGCAGCTAGTAATAATATACCTTGTGATAAAGTTTCAAAATATTAAAAAAATTGAAAACTATACTTTATCGACAAGTTAAGAAAATGTATTGTATATGATAAGGGCAGAATACATTTTAAAGTTTAATTAAAAATAATTGTAAAAATTTGCCTAACATATTTAAAAAATGTGGATATCAGGTAGCATTAACTATTATCATTAAGTAATTTGTAGTTCGATGTTCAAGTAACCATTTCCATAAATCGTAAATAAAAAGATAAAGATATTTTTTTTATATAAAATACTGAAATAAAGTACAAATCATTTAATTTCTTTAAAATATATTGCCATTTCATAATAATAATAATAATTTTCAATATTTATTTCATCCTGAATTTCCAAATCTTGTTTTCTTTCATCGGGATGTTTTCTCTTTATGGGAACATGCACAGTTATATAAGAGGGTTGATTTGGAAAAATTGTAGGCACAGCATCTTCTGTAGGTTTTGGCCGTGAAACTAATGAAAACAATTGGTTTGTTTACGACCACTAATTCTCGACCACTTCGATAGAACTGTCAAAACAGTCAGGCCTTGAATATGACGTTAGCCACGGTTCTGTCTGTCAGAACCTTACCTGGCTCTTTGAACAGACTATAGCTACAGCAATCAATCTATATAATATTATTTCAAGTACTTATACAGGGTGTCCCAGAAATAAGTGCCAGTATTTTAAGGGGTATTTTTTAATTTCTTGTACATTTAATCTACTACCTATGTTGCCATATTATCAAGAAATTATTATTTTTAAATAAAAATTGCGGATTTTCAAAAAAAATGTTATATAGGCGTATTTCTAGGGTTGCTACCAGTTAAAATACTTGCACTTATTTCTGGGACACTCTGCATATTGTTATAAAACTAAACTTAAATAGAAAATCTAGTGATAATTTCTATATACATAGCTAAAAACAACCTTTTTTTTTCTAGTTATATGCCCAACGTAAACCAATACTTAGGATAGAATAAACTCGCACAAGAGTGGTGTCGTTTTTTTGACAGATCTAGCAAAATATTTTTAGTTGTCACTGATATATGACGTCTGTATATGACGTTACGAAGGAATGGATTCCGACAAATTTTTTTGACTATTGATTAAGGTATTTTTGCATTTTTTTTCCTTTGTAATTTTTTATGATTAATATCGTGTGATCGAATAAAATCTATGTCATGGTAGGCTTAGCGAAATAACGTATATACATTTTTTTTCATTTGGGCTTTATTACGACGTTTCTTACTATGACATTGTTTTTATTCGATCATACATGTAAAAATGAGAATATTCAAGAAAAATATTATTGTTATGATTAATCAAACATAAATGAAGTGTTAACTCAATATAGTTTCCCTAAAATATATATGCCTTTTATTTCAAATAATTATTCTTGAATTAAAATAAGTTTTTTAATTTTAAAATGCATTTTAAAATATTTATGGGTACAGTTTGTTTAAGATATTTAGACACGTATTGGAAAAAAAATAGAATTTATATTTTCGATTGAAGGTTAAGTATTGTTTTATTTTTTTACTTCAGAAAGTCATTTTACTTTTGAGCGAATTCACTGTATAGAAAATAATATTTTTTATTTTTTTAGTTTATCTGTAGTTAAAATAATAATTTTTGAGTTCTTTTCCCAATATACAGTGGTGGGCTAAAAAGTATGGAAAATTTTTAATTTGTCATTTATGCTGAGAAATTAAAATATGAAATAAAACGACTTATATATAATCGTGACCTACAAATAATTTCCTACAAAACCTAATACATTTAAATAAAAATTACAGTTATCAAAAAATATATAAAAATTATGAATATTTTCTTGGTCAAAAGTATGGAAACTTAAGAAGAATGTTTTATTAAAATTCAAGATAATATAAAAATTACGAATATTTAGTGGAATATCCCTTTTAATTACTTCTCCACATCTTCGTGGCATCGAATCGATCAATCTCGTACAATCTTTACTGGAAATGGCCGCCTATTCAGTTTTTAGCACTTCCCATAATTCATTTTATTTCATTGAACATTATGTTCATTTAACCAATTTTGAACAAACTGAGATTTGTGCTTGGGATCATTGTCTTACTGGAACAACCATCTGAGTGGTATTTCTTCATCAGCATGAGCAGCATATTATTCTCCAACATGTCTTTGTACAAAAAACGGTCCATTATCCCATCAATTTTAACAAGAGGACTAACAGAGCGAGAAAAACACCCCCCATACCATTATACTCCCCCCCCCATGTTTTACTGTGAGCATCTTGTACTTATGGCTGTACCGTATACCTTTTGGTCTTCGGACATAACGTCTCCTGTCACTACCAAACAGTTGAAACTTGTTTTCGTCGCTAAACAGTACAGTATTCCATTTCTGATAAGACCAGGTGAGATGATCTTGAGCAAATTCAAAGCGGGCCATCCTATTTTCTTTGATAGTGGTTTCTTCAACGCAACTCTTCCAAAAAGTCCCATGTCATCCAACATTCTTCTCACCGTGCGTGAAGACACCGATATTCCCCTTTCACCCCTTTCTCGAGAAATGTCTGTGGATGTTTTTCTTGGATCTCCCATTGATATTCTCTTCATTACTTTCATTGTCCGGTTGCACAACTTTCTTGGTCTTCCTAAAAGCTGTTGAAACGTTTCGTTTTATTAAATTTACAAATTATTTTTCGAAAAAAAAAAAAATTTTTAAAAATGTTTAAATTTTTACTTATTTGAATTTGTTTATAACCGCTCTTGTGTAATTCAACTATTTTATTTTTTAAACTGTAGAGAAATATTTAGACTTGGCATGATGTTTATTTATCTGAAGCAAATCGTACCGTTTATCAGCTTAAACTAAATAATTTTAATGTATTTATTTATGGTTTCCATACTTTTGGCCACAAGAAATCTATTGTTCTCCTACAAAACTGCTAAACAGATTTTTTCGCTGTGTAATTTTGAATACTTTTATTTGCTGATAAGCTATTCATTTATATTCCTGAGAATTTAAGCATAGCAATATTTTCTGTGATATTTTAAAAAGTAAAAGTTTCCATACTTTTGGCCACCACTGGAATTTTGTTCAAAAAGATTTGGACACGCTGTATCAAAGAGATTGATAGGGACAAAATCAATCAAAGGAAGTTGATTTATTATAAAAATGCATTTTATTGTGTCATATCTGATTCTAGTCTACTTCTTTTTTATTTTAGACTTAGAACCTAAGTTTATATAATTATAGATGTATTTTTGATCATTTAATATAGAGACATACCGTGATCGAAAAAACGGCGTCACAGTCCAGCGAGTCAAATCTACTTCATCGTTTAAATAGTATAGTTTGGCGAATTTTGACGGTGCGATAAAAATTATCGTTCATTTTTATTATAAAGGTTACCGTGACGCTGTTTTTTTCGATCGCGTAGTATTTAATGTTGTGTACGTGGATTCATACCAACCTGCAGCTTTCTGTGATTTTGATATTTTATTTTGCAAAACTTGTATTGATCGTATGTCATATAAATATAATTATTTTTATTTGTATAAAATTGCGAATATACTGCGTGAATGGACATTTTTTTTAATGCTCTGAATTATAAAAATGTTCGGATCTTTCAGAGAGAATCTTTTGTTCTCCTTTGTATATATTTTTCAGATTATCACAAAGTAATTCAAATTTATTTTTTCCTAATAAATATCTTTAGAACTCAATATACAGGGGACTCTTCATTCCGTAAAACGCCTATATTATTAGCTGTAATTAAGTATTTTAATATTATTTTGTTAAAATATACACAGAGCGATTCGGACTATACGTTTGAATTTGTATAATAAAATAAATATTTTTAAATGTGTAAAAATCTAATCTTTATATCCTGATATTTTTATGGATTTTTTGGAATTTAAAAAAAAATTCTGTATATAAAAAATGTGGTGTTTTTAATCACCACAAAAGCCCTATAGAAAAATTAAACAATAACTAAATAATCATACACGTTTATATGTATAAATAAAATAGGTGTTTTAAAAATATATTAACACAAAATATATTTAGATTTCAACGATTTTAAAAACTGACAGTTAAAACACAATAGTATTATTATAACTTTATATTGTTTTAAATCATAGGTAGATATTTGCAGTAATTTGTACAAAAGCGATGTAACATATAATTACATAATGTTTATTGCTATTTATTTTTTTAAACAACCCTCTGTACCCATGTTCTACGCTTTCTTTGCCTGTATTTAAGGTGATTTTTATTTTGATGTTTCAAAACCAATAGATTTTTAAATTATAAGACTATTTCTTGCTCTGTAATTGTTAAAGCTATAGCCTATATACGATGTTTAATTGAATTTACTAAAGTATGTAAGTTTAAAGATATGAATTGTGGATTTTTTTCATCCTTTTCGAGGAATATTAACTTTCCTTTCGTTCAGAAAGCTTAAATAAAGACCACTTAAATAATTGTCTTGTTTTATTTCTTAAAGAAGAAATAGTGTTTTTAATTTTCTGAATTTATCTGATAAAAATTTGTTGAATATAATTAATAAAATTAATTTTGCAACAAAATACTTTTCTAAATTTTAAAATTTAGGATATAGATTTAATAAACGTCTTTTCGTATAATTTCTGATTTAAAACATAGATGGCGCTAAATAAAATTAAGTTAACTTTGCCGTGGAAATACTAAATTGTAAATTGTCATTACTTAGGATTATTATTGACTAAATAAATGCCTTTAGTGTAATACAGCACTAGGTTCATAGATGGCACTAAATGCAATACGATTAATATTACCGAAATACTAAAATTTAAAAAATCATAATTAAACATTTTTAAAAATATTTTTACCAGTAGTAAATTAACCATTTAAGCAAATAAATAAACATACTTTTTCTTCTCTCTATTAATTAACACAGATTGTTTATTAATTGCTAGTTCAGTTTCGTAATCTTTGTTGGTCAAACATTTTGTTCTTTACGCCTGTGTTGCCAAGATATTATCGAAGTCCTGAAACTAATCAAAATCAGTATTTTTGTAAGTATAAAACGAATTATACCGTTCAAAATCATGATAAATCTAATAAACATATAACGTAAACGTTGTTTCAGCAGAATAAATAATATTTCTTCTTCTAGATACAGCATTATTTATTTTATAATAACATAAAATGATCATTTTGTTTTACATCTATTCAATCTGACAACATTGACAGTGCGCCATGTTTTCCGTTGTTTGCAGTTTGTCGTTATGTCGCTCTTACAATTTTTCTTGATTTTTGGTAGTAAAGGGATTATTCAGAACACTATTTGAGTGTAATCTGTTCCTTAAGGCCTATTCAATCGAAAAATGTAAGTACCTCTTATTTTGTCTGCTTTCTATAGTTTTTTTCGCTTTCAAATATTTCAATTACATCATCGTTAAGAGCTGATACATTTTTCCTGTTTTCACAATTTTCTTTTCTAAATTGAGTATACGGAAATATAGATACTTTTCTTGATGTCTCTATTGTACATTAAATAAAATAATGTTATTTAGAATAATGCTCTATACTTTGAGATATTTGGTATTTTTTGGAGCATTTTTTTTTGTTTATAAAAAAAAAAAAAAAAAAAAAAGTTTTTTTTTTAGGTTTTTATTTGTATAGACAAATAAGATTTTCTACGTCGTTTAGAATAAATCAGTGTTATTATACCTAAAAGGGCCTTTCCATTTTCAATAATTATATATAATATTTTTAAATAATAAAATCGTTTACACATCACAGCATGTTTAATATCTAGGTAGACTGTTGTCACATTTAATTAAGTAGAATAATATATACGATTTATTCCATTTTAGGAGCGTGTTATTATTAGAGACATGGATCACTCCTTACTTGATGTTTGACCATTATTCTCTCAGTCTGGTTTACAACATTGGTCTCATTGCTTTGATTTAAAAGTATATTTATTTTACTTTTTACAGATATTTATATTTTTAAGAAGAGTTGGATCACTCCCTATATTCATGATGTGTGGCCATTATTCTGGTTTACGAGATTGATCTTCAAACATCTGATTAAAAAGTAAGTTTAATTTATTACTTAGAAATTAATCTTTAAAAA